GGTTTGGGCTGAAGACTGATCGCGGCTTCAGCATAAACACAAGAAAGAGGAGACAAGCAAGAACCCAAACACGTACAAGAAAGAGATGAGGTTCAAGAACAAGAGGCCATGTTGCAGTAACAATAGACTAGAGTTAGGTTTGTGTAAACTCTCAGTCGTACAGGGATTATTCGAAACAAAGAAAGATTGCTCAACCTTCATCTGTACTTCAGTTAGCAGGTTTTCCAACAAAAAAACTTTCTCAAGGGAAATCCACGGTTTTTGGATTTGGAGAAGGCATTTGACCTTGTCCGCCAGGGTTTCCTTTGGGGCTTCTCTGGGAGTACAGGGTCCGGTGTCCTCTGCTGAGGACCGGTCCCTGTATGACCAGAGTCAGAGCTGTGTTCGCATCAGCAGTCAGTCAGACCTGTTTCTGGTGCATGTTGGCCTCCACCAAGGCTGCCCTTTGTCACCGGTTATGTTTACCCCTCCAGGGTCCGGAGGGGGTCCAGTTTGGAGACCACAGGATTTAATCTCTGCTGTTTGTAGACAATGTTGTCCTGTTGAGATGAGAATAAGTATCTCCAAATCTGAGGCCATGGTCCTTGACCATAAATAGACAGGCAGATTGGTGCAGTGTATGCAATGATGCAGTCGCTGTATCAGACCGTTGTGGTGAAGAGGGAGCTGAGCCGAAAGGCAAAGCTTTCGATTTACCGGTCAATCTTCGTTCCCTCCCTCACCTATGGTCATGAGCTTTGGGTAATGACCGAAAGAACAACATTGCGGATACAAGCGGTCAAAATGAGCTTTGGAATGAGCGCCCAGCCACGCTCCCTTAGAGATAGGGTGAGGAGCTCAGCCACACGGGAGGAGCTCGGAGTAGAGCCGCTGCTTCTCCACGTCGAGATGAACCAGTTGAGATGGCTCGGGCATCTGTTCCGGATGCCTCCCTGGGTAGGCGTACAGGAGGAGGCCCCAGGGAAGACCTAGAACACGCTGGGTGGACTATGTCTCAGCTGGCCTGGGAACGCCTTGGGGTTCCCCCGGATGAGCTGGAGGAAGTGTGTGTGGATAGGGAAGTCTAGGTGTCTCTGCTTAGACTGCCGCACGAGCGACCCGGTAACGAATGTAGCGGAAGAAAATATATCCATGGAAGTTCTTTGGATTAAGCACAAAACATTGGGAAAACCTGCCAACTGAAGTATAGACAGTGTGAGAAAGTTTCAGGGTGAGCAATCTTCCTTTGTTTTGACAAATCCCGGTACGACTGAAAGATTACACAATACACACATTTATCGTTGGCAACATTGGGAGAGATGCCCTACTCTTAGCACGCGGGTTGGAGAAAATCTAAAGATATTTAGCAGACGCTAGAAATCATTTTAGGTTTAATCTTAGGTGCAGAGTAAACTTATCCCAAAATGTTTAAAGCAGAAAGCATTAGAAAATACATCAAAACTACTGCATGAAGATTCTCAATTTAAGAATTTGGCGACTCAACAAAGAAATTATACATTTAAAGATTGAGGTAGAGGCCTTTCAGGCATGAACTAGAATCTGCAGTCTAACCTGAGATCTTTCAGAGGATTTGGACGTTTACTGAAACTGCTCTGGTAAACCAACAAAAGAAGGCCAGAAGAAGTGCATCAGGTTTCAAAAACGTATTCAACGTTCTATAAGTGCAATTAGACAAGGGTTCGACAATGAGAATTGGTTCAAAAATGAATCTGATCGGCAATTATCACAAGCGGCAAAAGATGTTCCCACTAAAGGCCTTCATTACCTTGAGAAAGTTATTTGGATTAAGAACGAAATGCCTGGAAAAACTGAGGAACAGATGATGGGTGAGTTACATAGACTCACAAAACCAAGAATTACTGTATAATAATAATAATGATAAAAATCTCCCTTCAAATTAGTATTCATTTCACTCCAAACACAGAGGTGATAAACTACTACAGTAGCCACAGCTGACCTGGGGCACACTGACAGAACCATTCACACACACACTGTTACGGCCCACGGCCCGTAATTCCCTATTTTGGGGATCACCTAGTTTCTCCCGTGGTGTCTCTGTGTGTTTGTTTCCACCCTTTTTCAGAAGACCACGCTCGTGAGTCCTGGGCTCCTATTGGCCAGTCATTACCCACCTGGAGCTGATTGACCACGAGGCCTGGGTGCTGATTGGGCAGCAGCTGAGGCAGGCCTCCAATCAGCGTGCGCTCACCTGGAGGACCCGTCCTTATAAGCTGCCAATAATCCGCGGCTCAGGGCAGCTGGAGTCAGTGGACTCCAGTTCGCCATTAGTTTTGTCTGTGTTCTGTCACTTGTGCCGGTCCCTTAGTTGAGTGACTTGTTTAGTTTATGTTGAGACACTTTAGTTTAGGTTACACTTTTGGTTTTGTCAATTGCTTACTGTTTAATAGGTTATTTATTTATTGTGTGTTATGTAGATATTAATCCTATTTTGTTTTACCTACTTTGTCACCTAAATAAATTATGATTTTAGTTACTATTCTACCATCTTGGTTATTTTGTTACTTCCTCACACCTAGCTGAGCCGGGTCGTAACAGAAATGGCTCATTCTAATGTGGGTCAAGTTTCTTTCCTAAGGACACTTACAGCCGCCCCACTGTGGCACCTGGTATTCCCAGTGGTCTCCCATCACAGAACTAACTTAATCTTCAATTACAACCACTAGGAACCTCTCTGCTACACCAAGAGATGCAAAAGGGAGAAAATAGATTTTAACAGTTCTCACGGTTGGTGGAAAACCGCTATTTGAGTTGGCATTAAGTCTTTTGTGCGGAGGCTTCATTGGAACTGTGGACACGCCCCAAACACACACAGAGGGAAGGCATCAGGTCTCATTGTGGTGCAGACATTAGTGACAAGTGTCCACTGAGACGAGACACTTAGCATCGTTAGTGGTGGGAATTGGCAAAATAGTACTGAGCTATCTGAGCCACAATTCAATTTTGTTGTGATTCTTGACATATCACGATACAGCAAGTATTGTGATCGATTTCTGCAATATATTGCAATTCTTGCCCCTAATATTGTATTCAGGCTTTTCAAAAACTGAGGAAATTAAGTGGACGAATGGTGAGCTCCTAGCACATCATATAAATCATTCAAATACAACAGACACGAGTCATATAAAGCAGACATAAAGTAACTAAGTTGATTTACAGTAGTTTGAAGGTTCCATTATGCGCTGTTCTTCATGTTTCACAATCCATCCTATCCACATGTTTGATAATAATAATAATAATAATTTGAGTCATACACACAAATTCAGATTTGTCGGTACAAAGTCATTTCAGACCGGAGAACTTTTACCAACAAAGGCAATCCGACCCACCGATCCAGAATCAGACTATTTATTCAATTTACAGACATATACGGCGAGTTAGTAGCACTGCATTTACAGATTGAGGCTCTTTTATCGTGGGAATAACACTTTTATTGTGGGAATAACACTGGTTTCCAGATCAGTTTTTGAGTTGGTCCAGTTTCAAGGTAGCTATAGTTCTGGAACAGTCTTAGTGTTGCAGATGAACAGATTCATCACGGATTTCAGAGGCAGTTCCCCTCGAAAGAAGTCGCTTTCTTCCTTTTCGGGACAATTAGTACATCACACATTTTCTCCAAATTGACATGATCCTAACACTTGTAGCTGCTAACAAAAGCAGAAAAACACTATAGCTCCATGTGGTGGACACAGGAACGAACCATAGACATCCGCTGGACTCTGAGCAGCTGTGAGCCGTGATTCGCTATTTCGGTTTGTCAATAAAAGTCCATATGGCACCAAAAAATTAATCTATGGATCCCTAGTTTAGTTTAAATCCACCTTTAGCTCAGTGGTTGCGGTGATAGTGTCGGGAAGTTCAGTGTTTGCAGGAATGAGGCACAAATGTGTCTTCTCTGGCCTTTCGTTTACATGAAACAGCTTCCATGGTGGAACAGAACAGATACGCTGCTCAGCAGTTTGCTGTTTCACAGCTCTGTGAATTCCCCGGCTGCAATGACCTCACCGCTTCCCCGCACGTACATTTGGACACGCGCAGTAGCCAAGAACAAATTTTAAAAAAATATTGCGGCAGGTTAAGTTATGTTATGTTGGCTTTGAGTGCTACGTGGAGAAGATTCCTACTCCTTTGTTCGTCCAAACAAAACCACACAAAGCTTTAGTATCAATTTCCATTTTCGCTGTTAAATGCAGCGATGTTAAATGCAGAATGATGTTGTATCCTACTCAGGCTTTGCGGCGGCTTGAGGAGGATGTTGTTGAGGAAGCGATTACACTGGTGGGGGTCACGTGTGTCGTGTTGTAAAGTTCCGCTGCCCACTACTGTCCGAGCACTAGAACTACATTGTTTTCCGCAGTTGTGCAGACGCTGTGCACTTTGAATAAGGAGCCTGGTTGTTTTTGCTAATTGCTTTTTTAGCGTCTCTGTCTAAACAGGGCCTTACACTTACACACACACACAGACACACACACACACACCTCCAGCCGATTCACTTTATATCCGCAGTAAAGCTGTCGACGAGCAGTAAACACGGCACTTTGCCTCTGCGCCTGCACTGTCTCATCCAGCTGTCAGGGGGCGAGGCTAGTGAGCGAGTGGCGAGACTGAGGGAAGGACAAAAAGCACGGAGGAGAGAGGAGAAGATCTGCTCCCTGCTCTGGCTTCGCTATGGCTCAGAGATCTCAAGTTTAATAATAATCTGAATAATGTCAGAATGTGGACTATAGAACCACATGTGTCACTCTCTAAGGTCCAAGACCCTCATGCTGCTAACATGTACAGATATAAACATGCTACTCTAGGTTTATGCTCTAGAACATACAGGATTCATACTTGCTTCTTTTTATGCTAAAGTTAGGTATTTTATTATATTTAGAGTGACCAGAGAGACCAGAGAGAGCACAGAGAGACAGTGAGAGAGCAGAGAGAGAATGGATGAAAAAATGGAAAGAAGGTAAAAAAAAAATATTTGGTGAACTCACCCCTCGTTCCTGAAAATGGTCCTGAAGCAGTGGCCCAGACTCTTGTAGCTGTTGGGGTCACTGGTGCCGGTCTGGATCTGAAACCTGAGGAGAAGAGCGTTTTAGATTAAATATTTATTTTTAGAAAGTGAAAATCATATATAGATGAGACAAGGAAAACAAAATGCATAGTGAGGTCATTTTGATGGACTGTTTTACACGTCATGATGAACATTTGTAATTGAATGTAGAAAAAGGAAGAAAAGATCATTCTTGAGTCTGGTGTGTGTGAATGGTTGGTGGTGGTGGGAGGGGCCCATGGCTGATTTCCTTGCTTCTGTCAGTAGGCCCAGGGCAGCTGTGGCTAGTTTATCAACACTGTGTATGGAGTGAAAGAATAATTATCATTCTCAAGGCCAATGAGGTCCTCTGTCCTTGTCTGAGGATATGGAACTGTAGAAAAGGTTGACTGGAAGACAAAAAAAAAAAAAAAAAAATTCTACAACTTTGTACACAGTGAAACAGTAAGAAGTATTTCCTCAAATTTGAGTGATCCTAGGGGACTTTAAACATCATCCAAGCTTCATGATAACAGTGCACAAAAAGTTGCAGCAAGATATTCACTGTCTAACCGTGAAGGCTTAGCTTTAGCTTCAAATGAGCAGTGGGCACTGCTGGGTTCACACAGAGGAGGCCGAGAGCAGAGAGATGGTTTCATGTGGCAGGTCGAGAGGTCGGCAGTAACTCCTGTGTACGGGAGCCTGATGGGGCCATAAACAGTCCCCCAGGAGCGCAGCCTCTTTCACATCAGCACCGCATCAACGGAGCACGAGTCCCGCCTCAAACGCTGCTGCAAAACTCCCCGCGAGGCCGTAACACGGGCCCGGAGCGCGGCTAAAGCTCACAGTAAAGACTTGTCTGACACCATATTAAAGACGGGGGTAGGAGAGGGAGGGGGGCGGGACTTAGGGGTGGAAGGGGAGGGGGCGGGGCTTCTGGCAGTGTTGGTGTGTCCATAAGGAGGATTCAGATTCAGTTTATTTGCCATTTGCAGTAAAACTACATTAGAATACATGCGCAAAAGATTAAGATGTAGAGATCCTTTATTGGTGGGGGGGATGTCAGTGTTGCATCAGCAGTTACAGAACAGAAGGAATGAGGAGCACACAGCACAAGATAAATGAACAATAACTCTATACGATGAATAGAATGAGCAGCATGAGGTTCTGGGACACAGTGACACATGTGGTTCTACATTTGCACATTCTGACTTGTTCAAACTCTCGTCACAATTGTCATGTAATCTGTTCGTCCTGACGTTGTGATGTCACATGATCCTCTGAAGTATAAATCTGTCCCTGTAGACTTCCTTGCCAGCGGCGGCCCCTCCTCTTTATCTGTGCTCTCTGCGGGTCGTCGCGTTTGGAGATGAGTTTATGACAGGGTATGCTCCGGCCAGGAGGAAATGAGGCGACCTCTGGGTCACACGTGGAGTAAGGAGCCGAGGACCACTGCCCCGTCACTTTGGCCCCAACTATTATACCATCAACTGAACTACACTACCACCTATACTATCCTACCTATACCATCACATCCGATACTGGGGGGTCAAACTCATTTTGGCCGGGGGGCAAATTTTAAAACATAATAGCTGGTTGGTAATATTTTCTTGTATGTTTGGTTTCAAACACAACTGAGGCAAATATTGAGTAGAGATGTATTTGCTCAAGTTCATTAACATTTTAGAACAGATTCAATGATATGGTTGTTTTTCTGATGTTATACATCAATTGAAATATATATGCACCAGACTTATTCTAATGTGGGTGAAGTGTCCTGCCTAAGGACACAACCACAGTGTGGCCTTTTACAGCGCAGCCGCCCCACTGTAGCACCTGGTGTTCCCGGAGGTCTCACATCATTCTGATTAGCTTAGCTTTAGCGCTCTGATGAGATCTGACACTCACATTCAGGTGGGAGTTACAAAAGAGAAAGACGTGTCTTATTAATGTGATAACTTCATTGTATTGTACAAGCCAATGACGAGAAAATCCATTTTTTTTTTAAATTCAAAAACAAGTCGAGAAATGCAGTAAAAATCTATTTATTTTCTAAACCCTGGCTCCCTCGACTGTTAAAAACCACCTTCTGCCCTAGACCTAATTGAGAAATGCGTGAAAAGTGCAAACTAGTCCAACCCGAAATGACGCAGTAACATCAGCGAGGAGAGGACTTTTAAAAGACACAAGATAAATGGTTTTTCGGCACAAAACTTCCTGAAAAGAGTAAAAAATAAGTCTGCTCTGCTCCTAAACCTGTGAACCTGGAGCTTTGAGGTCGGGGCCATCCAGGTGTCTTTGATTTAAGTCGACATGAGTTTGTTTACAAGTTTTGAACACCTTAAATCTTGGGCCGAACCTTCTCTTAAACATGACAAAAGCAAGACCAAAAACTTTGACGGAACGCTTTGCTTCAGGCAGAGAAAAACTTGTACAAATGTATTTTTATGACAGATTCTAAACAGGAAGTCAATTTTTATTTAATCTAGAACATATGACGACATCTTTGTTAAGCACCAATAACCTTGTGTTGGAGTAGATTCTGAAGCATCTTCTCCAACAATATAAAACAATAGAGAACAACCAATTCTAAATGTTATTAATATTCTGCCAATCGCAGTTTTATCAGTTTTCCCCCTCAATACATAAAAAGGTCAGTTGTTTGTTTATGTTAGAATGATGATTCACTAAGAATTATATAATTTTTGACAGCAATCATACTTTGTGTTTGGATTCTAAAACAGACATGAAAACATGTATTTAACTTTGCCTGTGTTGTATCAATTACAGCCATTGGAGATGCTGCAGCTGACAACCCCCCACCCCCAAAACTCAATTACAATCAAACTTTTTGTATCGCAACAAAAATGGCACAGAACAAGGACACATCTATAATCAAGGATCAACAATTTGGGGTTTTTTGAATTGGGTAATTTTCTGTTACTTTTGATCGTTTAGACAAAAGTGTAAGACACGGTTAGCTAAACCAGTCCAGTGAATCTAGTCCCCGGTTCTCCTCCAGCTTCAGGGTCAGGACCAGGCCAGGTCCTTCTCAGCCCGGGACAGAACCCTCCTAACCTCAAAGCCCATAAAGCCCATGTCATGAGGCCACAGGACGGGCCCCAGTGCACTGAGGAACACTGGTGATAACAGGGACCAGCACAGGGACCAGCACAGGGATCAGCACAGGGACCAGCACAGGGACCAGCACAGGGACCAGCACAGGGACCAGCACAGGGACCAGCACAGGGACCAGCACAGGGACCAGCACAGGGACCAGCACAGGGACCAGCACAGGGACCAGCACAGGGACCAGCACAGGGATCAGCACAGGGACCAGCACAGGGACCAGCACAGGGATCAGCACAGGGACCAGCACAGGGACCAGCACAGGGACCAGCACAGGGACCAGCACAGGGACCAGCACAGGGACCAGCACAGGGACCAGCACAGGGACCAGCACAGGGACCAGCACAGGGACCAGCACAGGGATCAGCACAGGGATCAGCACAGGGACCAGCACAGGGATCAGCACAGGGACCAGCACAGGGACCAGCACAGGGACCAGCACAGGGACCAGCACAGGGACCAGCACCGGAGTCAAAGCGCCATGTAGAGGTGAGCTGCTTAATGACGTGGTTTAGCGCCGCGTTTGGCACTGATCAAAAGGCGGCACCAGACCGTGGTTTTTTAAAAGCAGACCCATTAAAGAAGCCATAAGTCACCGTGGACGAGCTCAGATGATGTTGTGGCGTTTTTTATGGCGCCGTATCGCGCATTTCGAGCCCTGTTTGTATCCAATTACAGCCATTCGAGATGCTACGGACATGCTACAGACATGCTAATGAGGATAAGCTAACACCTTTAAAGATGGAGACGTCTTATAAAGCGGTAATGTAGTTTTATGTGACTTTTTTAAAGCTTTTGCACAAGTTCTTGTACAGTGCAGTGAAAGGTGTCCCCCAAAAACAACATGTTTTTTGGAATCAATTACATCACAGATTTATTGAGTATTTTTTTTCCTTCTATACGTGGACATGTCATTCAACTGTTTATGTTAGAATAATGATTAGCTAAGGGTGCTAAAAAAATAATGCTGACAGCAATCATACATCTTGTTTGGATTCTTTACCTTTGTCCTGTTTGTATCAATTACAGCCATTGGAGATGCTACAGACATGCTACAGTCATGCTACGAACATGCTACAGACATGCTACAGTCATGCTACGAACATGCTACAGACATGCTACAGTCATGCTACGAACATGCTACAGACATGCTACAGTCATGCTACGAACATGCTACAGACATGCTACAGTCATGCTACGAACATGCTACAGACATGCTAATGAAGATAAGCAAACACCTTTAAGCATGGAGAAGTCTTGTAAAGCAGTATTGTAGTTTTGTGTGAGTCTTTCTCACTCAACCAGTGCAAAAGTTTGTAACCATCTGGGTTCTCCAAACTTTTTCACAGCGAGCTTCTCAGGACTAGAATGAGTTTATCTAAAAGTGAAAGCATTGGATGGGGTACTCTTACTATGAGTATTTCAAATTTAAACTAAAGTTGGGGGCATGTAAGTTGTTTTTATAAATATTCAGAATACTGAAATCCTTTGGGGAGCTACCTGGAAGGGGTTGTCTCTGCTACATTAAACATGAAAACCTTACATTTAAGCGCAGCCGATTTGAGGACAACATTGATTTTCTGATTGATTGACACATTGATTGATTGTCCCTGATGTTTGGGTGGAGCATTCAAAAGCATTGACCGAATCTTTTTGTTTTCTGCTCAGACAGCTCCGCAAATATCTAATTCAGTTTATGAGCGATTCGGTCATCTGTCCTCAATACATTTCAACCCAATACAACACAACAAATTTGTCCATATTTCTATTTGGTTCCTCTCTCTGATCTTTCTTTCTCTAGTCCCTCTATCAATCAATTAATCAGCTTTTATTTGTATAGCGCCTTTCCAACACAAGGCAACTCAAAGCGCCTCACACCTCACAATCATATGAAAAAAATCAGTAACATTAAAATCTACATATATACAAAAAAATAAAAATAAATACTAAAATTAAAAACAGAATAAAATCACACGTAATTAAAAACCTCTTTATAGTCTTGCTCTCTCTGGTCTCCCTCTCTGGTCTCCCTCTCTGGTCTCCCTCTCTGGTCTCCCTCTCTGGTCTCCCTCTCTGGTCTCCCTCTCTGGTCTCCCTCTCTGGTCTCCCTCTCTGGTCTCCCTCTCTGGTCTCCCTCTCTGGTCTCCCTCTCTGGTCTCCCTCTCTGGTCTCCCTCTCTGGTCTCCCTCTCTGGTCTCCCTCTCTGGTCTCCCTCTCTGGTCTCCCTCTCTGGTCTCCCTCTCTGGTCTCCCTCTCTGGTCTCCCTCTCTGGTCTCCCTCTCTGGTCTCCCTCTCTGGTCTCCCTCTCTGGTCTCCCTCTCTGGTCTCCCCTCTCTGGTCTCCCCTCTCTGGTCTCCCTCTCTGGTCTCCCTCTCTGTCAATCTTTCTCTGGTCTCTCTCTTTGGTCTAAATCTCTAAGACAAAAAAAATAGAAAAACCCATCACATGGATAAGATTACTTACATGTCTTGTATTTAGCAAATAAATATGAGGTTAATATTATGAAGTCAAATGATAAACACGCTGGTAACAAACACAAACGCAAGTATTTAATCCAGTTTACGAGCGATTCTGTCATCTTTCCTCAATACCTTTGAACATAATAAAACATAACTTATTTGTTCAAAAAGCACTTTTATTTGTTGCCGTGTTCGCGCTTGTTGCTACACGTTCGAGAAATGCAATGTTCTTCCAAAGCTTATCACATAAAACCCAGAGAAATAAGAACAAATGGTAAGACTTTTGAACAATTTCCTTCGCTTTATCCGTGGAGTATTAGACAATCCGAAGGGGAACTTGGGGAAAAATCTCGCTTTTACAGCCCCACAGTTAATTTTAATGAGCGAGATCATAAAGACGGTAAAAGTCCTTTGAATCGTACAAGAGGTTAGGGCAGCGCTTTTGACCTAAATGATCCAAGATGGCAAAACGCTCGCAGCCAATCACATCTCTGCTCCGTTCGCCCAATCACACGCGAGCTACGACAGTAAACTTTTTATATTTGGGTAAAGATGAAGTTAATAATAAAAACTAGGGCGCTAGTAAAAAGCACTTGAGGTTAATTCCAGATGACCTCCGCCCAACGCAATAACACGGAAGACAAGGAAGCATGGTTTTAATGGACCGCGATGTGGATTTGAGCAGAAATGTCCAAGTTTGAAAGAGACAAGATGGTGCAAGCAATTTTTGAAGCAAAGGGGAGTGATAACATGTATAGATTTTGAGGCAGACCTGGTTCAGTTTCAACACAAGCATTGAGGAGGACAGCAGAGAGTAAGTTGTGCTTTAGAGAAGATCAGATTCAAGAGTTTATGGTCATTTTTCAGCTCAGAGAAGAATGTAAAAGATGTGATGACGTGTAGAAGGGACAGGGCAGTCTGGAAACATAATCTAAGGAGCACAGGGACTGAGCTAGTGCTTGGACTCTGGGGAGCACAGGGTTCCAGAGTCAGGACCAAACATTACAGTCTTCCTGAGAATGTGAGACAGGCTTCTTCTCTGACAATGCTCATATCAAAGTAAAAAAGGGTTATCTTTACTCTTTTTGATGTACTGTGATTTTTATTTTTATTTCAATGCCTTTAATGCCTATGCCTTGAAAGCCATGAAGCAAGCCAATAAGGGAATCAGTTAGAGTCAACACAATGCATTTGCAACTGTTTCAATCCAATGTGTGTTTGTATTGCTCTAAATCACAACAATAGTTATCTCTAAGGACTTTACAAAACTGTCAATTCGTCAACACAGATCAGAGAGCAAACACATAGTCATTGGTCCTTAACTCATTCACTGCCAGCCATATATAAAGAAGCATCCCTCATACTGCCAGAGATTTTTGATATTTTTTAGTGTTTTTCCAAACCTCATATACATGTGAGCCCTTGGTTGTCACAAGTATGAAACATACCAAATGAAAGCTCTGTCTCTTGCCTTTCAGTAAAAAAAAAAGCAAGTTTCTACCCCTTTTAGTTTTTTAGCAATTGAGAGTATGACATGGGTAACTTAAAGGACAACTCACCCTCAAATCCACTTTTTTTTGCTGATAAACGGTATAAATGAGTGTCCAATAGTGTTGTCTACATATCCTGGTCATAATTTTGTCACTTTGGTGCAAATTAGTTGAAAGTTAAACTTTCTGCCTAAAACCGTCTGTGAGGCGCCATCTGCTGGCGACCTGTATTACTACATTGAATCTGGCGCCAACACTGGCGCGGCAGCAAGACCTGACGTCTGAAGCAAGACCTGACGTCAGCAGCCCCCCGCCCAGAGCAATGTAAACGGCCCAGTCTCGTTCACGCCCCCTTTAGTCCTCCAGGCTACGCCCATTTAGAGGAAGATTTGAACAGGAAATGTGAGTGACGTAAGCTCCGAGGAGAGGGGGTGAGAACCACTTTAATGAAAAAAACATTGACGTCTATAGAAGTCATTGGCAGTGAATGAGTTAAGCGGCAGAGACCAATATCCATGAATGTTGATAAAAGATTGTTCCATAGGGCCAGGCAATGTTAAAGTTTCTCCAGTGGCTCTGAAGTAAAATATTCATAGAAACAGGGTCAAAAGCCTTCAGCCTACATCAGGACGCAAGAAAGCAAATTTGTTATGGATTTTATTTAGATTGGATATAACTTGATTAATCCAGAAGGACAGAGGGAGGCTCCCAGGCCGCTCCCAGGAGAGCTGTAAGTTTAGATGAAAATAAGGGAAGAAGAAACAGCAGAAGCAGCAGGATCTGACGGAGGCTGTGGCACAAAAGTCATTAAACTCAGATCAATGTAATGATGTTGACTGTCCCCGTGCTGATGAGAGCGCTGTGTTCTGGCGGCACATGAAAAGATTTTCTAATGGAGTTTAATTTATTTGCTTTTCAGGTAAAAGGAAATTACAATTGTGCGAGGAACGTCTTATAGAATTAAGAAACCAACATGTTGCATATTGTGAGAAGAGACCTGCTGTTTGACTGATTATTAGCACAAGAGGGAGGGGCTGGTGGAGGGGAATAGTGTATAGTATAGAATAATATAGAAAGTTTTGGTATTTCTTACTTTATAATTCAGTTTATTTGCAGTTTGCAGTAAAACCACAATAGAATACATGTGCACCAGACAAGGAATAAAACTGAAAAATAGACTGATTTATGCTGACATTTGTTTACACTTTTCAATCTGAAAAGAATGATCAAAAGATGTAACAGAGGACAACAATACATAAAACTAGTGCAAGAAGTACACATTGTTTTGAGATTAAAGCAGGGGTACCTAACTTTTAAACCACTAAAATGTCATAAGTTCCGAGTTAGTTCCTTTCTCTCGAATCCGTCGGTTTCTGTCACTAGTTTCACATGTATTTGTTGTTGGTCTCTGTCCCAGCTTTAGATCAGCTCTTTTCAGACAGAGGAGTGAAAGGTGTTAGCGAGTCACAATGTAGCCACAGAAAAATAAGTAATAATAATAATAATAAGGGAAGTAAAGAGGCATATGCAAACAGTAA